TTTATCCCACTGATGTACTGGATTATATTTATTGATCTTCAAATGTTGAACCAGCCCTGAATACCTGGGATAAATCCCACTTGGTCATAGCATATAATTTTTAAAATACATTACTGGATTTGACTTGTTAATATTTTGGTGAGGATTTTTGCTTCTGAGAGATTAGTCTATAGTTTTCCTTTCTTCAGTGTCTTGGTCTGGTCTTGGTGTTGGGGCAATACTGGCCTTATAAAATAAGTTAGGAAGTAGTCCCACTTGTGTTTTCTGTAAGAAATTGTAGAGATTTCATGTAATTTCTTCCTTAGATGTTTGATAGAATTTACCAGTGAACCCACTTGGGCCTCGTGCTTTCTGTTTGGGGAGGTTTTGGGTTTTGTTTTTTGTTTTTTTAAGTATTCATTTATTTATTTTTAGAGGGGGGCGGAGGAGGCAGAGGGAAAAGAAGAGAGAGAATCTCAAGCAGACTCCCTGCTAAGCACAGAGCCCATTGCAGGGCTCCATCTCATGACCCTGAGATCATGACATGGGCCGAAATCAAGAGTTGCTTAACCAACTGAGCCACCTAGGCACCCTCTGTTTGGGGAGGTTATTAATGATTAATTCAACTTAATAGATATAGGCCTACTCAGGTTATCTATTTCTTCTTGTGTAAATTTGGGAGACTGTGTCTTTCAAGGAATTGGTCCATTTCTTCTATATTATCAGATTGTTCATAGTAGTCTTTTATTATTCTTCTAGTGTCCACACATCAGTGGTGATGGCCCCTCTTTTATTTCTTATATTGATAATTTGTGTCTTCTTTTTTCTTCAGTTAGCTTGGCTAGAGGTTTATCAATTATATTGATCCTTCTAAAGAACTGGCTTTTGGTTTTATTAATTTTTTTCTGTTGATTTCCTGTTTTCGGTTTCATTGATTTCTTCTCTCATTTTTATTTTTTTTTTCTTACGTTGAATTTTTTTGAATTTGCTCTTTTTCTTATTTCCTAAGGTGGAAGCTTAAATGGTTTTATTAATTTTTTTCTGTTGATTTCCTGTTTTCGGTTTCATTGATTTCTTCTCTAATTTTTTTTTTCTTACGTTGAATTTTTTTGAATTTGCTCTTCTTTTTCTTATTTCCTAAGGTGGAAACTTAAATTATTGATTTTAGATCTTCTTTTCTAATAGATACATTCAGTGCAGTACATTTCCTTCTAAGCACTGTTTTTATTGCATCCAACAAATTTTAATAAGTTATATTTTCATCTTCATTTAGTTCAAAATATTTTAAATTTTTTCTTGAGATGTCTTCTTTGAGCCATGTGTTATTTAAAGTGTGTTGCTTAATCTCCAAGTATTTGGGGATTTTCCAGTTGTTTTTTTGCTACTAATTTCTAGTTTAATTCCCTGTCATCTGGCAGCATACTTTGTATGATTTCTATTCTTTTAAATGTGTTATAGTGGGTTTTGTGGCCCAGAATGTGATGTGTCTTGGCCTAGGCTGTTTTTCAAGGAGAAAGTTACTCAAGTGTCTAGGGCCTTGACATTTGACCTTAATTCTAAAACTAAATGCGTCTGTCTCTTGGCTGTGGCACATAATTTGCATCTGTCTCTTGGCTGTGGCACATAATTTGCACCAATCTCTATAAAAGGACCTTTATCTATGACTTGTTGATTATACAGAGCTATACCCATAGAGGAAAAGCATACCCATGTCAGAAATGGGAAACTAAGTTTGCTAAGGGAATATTTGTATAATGCTATGCCTTTGATTAGTTTCTTTCCAAAATCAGTATCACTAAGAGTTTGCATGCTGTTAGCAGTGGGAATTCTAGTAGTGGTACTTCCTAAGAGCACCTATCTTGGAGTTAAAATGTAGGCTATATAAGCTTGGAGTTTTCTAACCAGGGATGATTTTGGTCCCCAGGGACCATTTGGCAAATGTTTGGAAACAATTTTGGTTGTCATAACTGGGTGAGGGGGTAGTGTGCCACTGGCATCTAGTGGGCAGAGGCCAGGGATTTTGCTAAACATCCTCCAAAAGCCCAAGACCAACCCACGCCTTAAACAAAGAATTTTCTGGCCCCAAATATCAGTAGCGGAGGTTGAAAAACCCTGAGTCTAGCTTGTTCCATCCGATCATTACTGAGAAAACCTTGAGGCCTCAGAAATCTCTCAGCAGTCTCTCAGGATTTGGCTTCTGAGGCTAAGTGCCTCCTATGTAAATACCGTGTAGCTTAGTCCATTAATTCATTCTGGCACATTTCCTATACTTTCAGCTTAGTGGCCAGAGGCCTACTAAATGGTTGGGGCTTTTTAATAGGGTGATACTTTTTCTTCCTGATGTTTCCGAGAGACAGGCTCAGCTGGCTTGCGGCTCTTGCAGAAGAGAACCTGGTGACAATACGCTAATCTGTTGCTGGCATCTTTTGCTTCCTAATCTATGTTTACACGGCACTGAAAATCGACTCCCTGGTGCCAGGCTCCATTTCTCCTCAGCGCTCTGGCACCGTTGGCAGAGAACACCTCCCCAATCCCTTCCACACAGTGCTACCCATCCGTGTTTATTACATTGCACAGCTGTTCTCCAGAAAACATTTCTGGAGGCATGGATGGTACAGGAGCTTCTGGAGCTGGGGGTTTGGAATCTTAATCGTTGTGTTCCCAGTTGCAGATCCACAGCACTCTTAAAGCATCTGGTATTTTCCTTAACTGTTTTCCTGATTGTAGCTCCCATCCTCTCCCCCAGATTTTAAGCTCTGAGAGTACGGGGTTTGTTTCTTCAGTTTATTTCCTACTCTTTTTTAGCAGCTAGCATTTCATTCATCAACTGAGAGATCAACTGACCTTCTATTATTTTGTGTTTTATGCTTTTCTGTTAAAAGTTAGAGGACATGATAAGGAACTACAATGGTGTGAGAAAGACTGGTGGTCAGAGGGAGATGTCAACTATCTAGATAAACAAGCCAGGGGAACACTTCATAAGCTCAGTGATGTTGAGCCTGGATCAGAGTGAAACTGAGTAATTCTTTCCAGCGATGTGGTAGACCTTAGAACTAAAAAATGATTTTCATTATCAAAGGGACCTAAAAAAATAAAATGTTCCTATTAAGAAAGTCCTATATGTAGCTTACTCTCCTCATGACCCAGGAATCGCTCAGCAAAAGTTCCCAAGTCAGGTGTAATTATTATAGAATATTCTATAAAGGTTAAAATTATTAAGAACATATATTTATTTACCTCATTGAGTGATATGCCACAGGACCTTCAGTAGGAGTTTGAGGTCAGTGGGCTCGTTGACAGCACCCCCAAATGCTATAATTCTCAGGCCTTCAGGGAGATCATGACCATTTGGGTCTATGTCTTTGAATCTGTAAGATTTTAAAGAATAAATTGTGGTGGGGGTATTGGTTTATCTAGAACCATATTCCTCAACCTTTATGTAATTATTACCCTCCTAAGGAGATTTTGTAGACATTTTTTCCCTAATCATCCCCCCTCCCATGAAATTTTAATATCATAGATAGGCTGTGTATCTGTCATATACTACAGTGTATTGGAGGCAAGCTAGTGATTGCACTAAGATTTCCCCATGAACCAGTTTTCGCCCCCATGGGGGCAATATTACCCATATTGAGAATATATAATCTTAGCAGTATTATCATCTTGGAAATGAACTGTTTCACCTTTCTTTACAAATTGAAACTGGGACAAGGACACCATCAATAAACTAATGTTGAAGAGAGTCTTCTCATGTAATAACTTGCTGCAACTGGAGAAGAGTACTTTTCTGGCTTGTATGGAGGACATTTTCTCTCTGAACAACCTCTCTTGACCATTTGAGGAAAGAATAGGGAAAGACCAGGAATGGCAGAGCAATAAATGCAGCTCACCAAAAGCGGGGGGTGGGGGGGGGAACTGATGACAGGACCCTTTTGTAATGATACGCAGAGGAGGAAGATTGTGATACTGAAGAATCTAGGTATAAAATTGTCCATTGTTCCAAGGCTAGTAAGTTCTAACAAGTTCAGTTTCTTGAAGTAGGTGATTTGCAGCAGAGAATACCATTTAGGTTGTCTAGCATACAACAGTGTTCTGTTCTCCCAAGAGGGTTTGGCTCTGTCTGATCAAAAGGGTGGTTGTGTATGCAATGCACCTCGGAAGGAGGAGGAGGAAATGACATGTTCATGTAAATGAAATACAACTGCAAATTAAAGTGTCACCCTGTTAAAAAAAAAATCCATTTTTTATTTAATTGGTTACCAAGGAAAAAAATGTCATGCAGAAGTGTATATCTCAGGGAAAGTTAAACCGTGAGATGTTTCAAGTGAATCCAGATTCAAGGAAGTTCTCATGGGGCGGGAAGGGGAGGGGTTTGTAAAATACTGCCTTAATAAAAATATTCTGATACTGAAAAGCCAGACTCATAAATTTCTGCTGTGTTACATGCCAGGGGTCCAGAAGAAATTAACAAACATGACTTCATTTGTTCTTTACTGTCTCTATCTATCCAGTCAGCTATATACTGGCTGCCTCTTCCCTGGAGGAAACCTCCTTTTGAGATGTTTTATTTGGAAGAAGGTTGTGTACAAAGGAGGAGATGCTTTCTCCCAAAGAGTGTTGCTTACTACAAAGACATCCAGGAATGAAATGCTTTTCTGTGTGGCTTTTCTGTGTTAATGTTGTCCTCCCATTTTTCACTCCCCCCCACTGCCACACGCATTTTTATGAAAACTCATCTGTCTCTTTAGACTGAGAGTCTACCAGACAGGACATATACGGTACCTGCCACATTGTTGGCACTAAGGAAATGTTAAATAATCGTGGGAGGGGCCGGTGAATGGGATTATGTTTCTGGTAGAATTGTTGTTGAGATATGTTTGGTTTCTCTTTGAGATGGGGACTTGGCAGATGGTTCTTCCTCTTCCCCCTCTCCTGCTAATCCCAGTACATGTTGTTTTATGTTTGCAGAGGAAACGTGGATAAAGACTATACTGTGCTCTCTTTGTCTTCTCCCCCACCAGGGGCAGTGATTGGTGATGGACAGTCTGCTGTGGCCAGTAACATTGCCAATACTACCTACCGGCTCCAGTGGTGGGACTTCACTAAGTTTGACCTCCCTGAAATCAGTAATGGTAAGTCAAAGTGGAGCTGGTGCTGGTGGAGGGGGTATTTCTTACTGGTGAGCCTGAACTCAGAAACCCATGGAGTACTGGAGTTTTCATCATCTTGTTGAGCAGCTGATTTCCCGGTACCGTTTCTGCAGCTCACCATCAGTAATTCAGCAGACATGTTTTAAGCACCCACCCTGAGCAGCGACCCATGGTAACTGCGGTGCTAGGAGCAATGCCAAGATGGACACAAAGATGAAGGTGTCTCTCTTCTGGGGAGTTCACCTACTAGTAGCTAATTGTCCTAAGCCTCAATGTTTAAGTGGAACTGAGAAGCAGGGAAAGAGAAGGGAGTATAGGAACTGAGAGCTAGCCCTTGTGCCCCTTGAGGAAAGACTGTGGTGATGTTAAACTCATTTATTAATCCAGAGCTGGATGGAACAAAGTGAATGACATGGTCAGTATTTAATTTACAAACATATGTCTGAAGTCTGCAATCCCATATCCCAGTTGTTCATCACAGCATTTTATTTTATTTTATTTTTCAAATATTTTGTTTATTTAAGAGAGAGAGAGAGAGACAGCATGAGCGAGAGGGGCAAAGGGAGAGGGAGAGAGAGAGAATCTCAAATAGACTCCACGCTGAGTGTGGAGACCAGTGCGGGGCTCGATGCCAGGACCCTGAGATCATGACCTGAGCCAAAACTAAGATTTGGATGCTTAACCAACTGTGCCACCCAGGTGTCTCCCATCACAGCATTTTAGACAACTTAATTCAATTTCTATCTAATGAAGGACTTGCACATTCCTAGAAGTAGCAGTTTAGCCTCTGCTTAAATACTTAAAGTGATAGGTCACACTATCTGGTGAGATGGCCTGATCTTTCACTGATAAGCTTCTGTTATTGTTCCCTTGCTGTTATTTCCTCCCGTTGGTCCTGGTTCTACCTCTGAATCTCCATAGAATATGTCTAATGATACCTCTTCTGATGGTTCTCAGCTGTTTGAAGATAAATTGTCATTTCCCTTTGAATATTTCTTCTCAGGCCAGACTTCTTCCTGAGATTCCTTTTACTGATCTGGTTTCCAAATCCTTGACAGTTCTGTTCACCTTCCCGTTTGACTTTGGGGGACCAGAACAGAATAGAAAACTCCAGATGGGAGCTGTCCAGTACATAGCGCAGTGGTGGTTTGGACAGTGTTAATTCAGCCTGAGATTTCAGCAGCTTTTCCTGAAGCCACTATTCAGTTTCGGTCCCTTCAAATCCCTAGATAATTATTAAGAAATCGAGGCTCTACCATTCTGTTTATTTGTGCAGTTTGAATCTTTTAAAAACCAAAACAGGTTTGGATTTGCTCCTGTTAAATTTTATCTTAATAGTATCAGTTGCACTTCCTAGCTCCTCCCTCTCAATGTCTTTTTGAACTTTGGATTCAGTCCTTTTCTCTCAGTCTTACATCACCTACTAATTTGATAAATACACTTTCTCTCTCTTCCTTTGGTTTACTAGGAAAAATGGTCGATCAGTTAGGATACTGTACTGGGCCTTGTGTGATGTTGCTGTGGACTTCCTCTTGTGTCAACTTTGGTTCCTGAATTAGCACCCTGGCCTGGTGTTCACAACTGAAGCCCACATTTTTTTTTTTCCCTTTTAATCTTGTCTGCAAGGTATTGTAAGAATTTGTCAGATGCCTTAAAATAATCAAGATATTCTCTGTCTGTGGTGTTTCCCGATATGCCAGTCTTGGTATCCTTATCAGACCATGAAAATGAGGTTAATTTTTCATGTCCTGATCTTAGTGAAACCACAGTAGCAATCATTTCTTTCTTTCTAAGTGCTTATAAGCCACATGTTCAATAATCTTTTCTTTAACTCTTCTGGGAATCAACTGCAATCTACTTTTTCCTTTATTGAATACCAGGTTTGCTTGCTCATCTCCAGATTTCTGGCCCAGATCTTCTTTGCCACAATTTATTTCCAGTTATTTTGTTTTTTTTTTTTAATTATAATCTGAAATACATTCACCATTCAAAAAATTTTGGACTATAAAATAATAGACAGTAAAAAGTTTCCCAACTCTGCTCTCAGCTATAGGCCACTCCTCCCCAGAGGCAACCACAATTAGCAGTTTCTTGTGTATCCTTTCAAGGATATTGTATGTGTGTGTGTGTATATATATATATATATATATAGGCAATGCAAATGTATGTTTTTCCATCTTCTGTTTAACCCAGATGGTAACATGTTATACACTCTACACTCTACACTCTTCTTTCTACACTTTGCTTTCTGTACTTACCGTATATCTTGGTGATCTTTACGTACAGTATATAAAGAGTTTACTCTTTCTTTTTTAATGACTGTCTAGTTTTCCATTGTCCAAGTGGAATCTCTGGGTTCCATCTTTTTTTTTTTTTTTTTTAATTGTATTTATTTATTTGACAGAGACACAACGAGAGAGGGAACACAAGCAGGGGGAGCGGGAGAGGGAGAAGCAGGCCTCCTGCCAAGCAGGGAGCCCGATGTGGGACTCGATCCCAGGACCCTGGGATCATGACCTGAGCCGAAGGCAGACGCTTAACGACTGAGCCACCCAGGCGCCCCTGGGTTCCATCTTTTAATCAGTCATTTTTCAACTAGTCTTCTCTGAGGAACTTTTAAATTGTTTTCGGTCTTTCCTATACAAAACATGTTGCAGTTTGTCATTTTGCACCCGTGCAAGATTATCCACAGGATAAATCCCTGTAGGATAAATCTCTAGAAATGGAAGTGTAGTTAGGAAGAGTACATACATCTGTGATGTGGGTAAATGCTGCTAAGTCACCCTCTGTAGGGGTTATGCCAACTTATACTCTTATCTGCAGTTTATGAGAATGCCTGTTCCCCCTAAACTCTTGCTTGTAGACTGTGTTACCATATTTTTGGATATTTGCAAATCTGATAGGTAAAAAATAGTATGCAGGTATTTTAAATTTGTATTTATCATATTACAAACCAGGTTGTGTGCCTCTTTACACACTTAGCTCGTGTATATTGCCTTTTCTTGACTGGTCCCTGTGCTTTACCTATTTTTTTTGTGTTGCTGATCTTTTCCTTACCAGTTCTACAGGAGCTCTTTCTAAATCAGAAAATTAACGAACAAAAGGAGTTTCCTAGTTGTCATTTTTCTTTTGACTTTGCTGAAGGTTATTTTTGTCATAGAACTTATTTTAAGTAGTCAGAATTATCCAACTTTCCATTTATGGTTCCCAGGTTTTGTGTCATCATTAGGAGATCAGTTAGTACTTTTCTATTTTAGTTTTTTTTACCTTTAAGTCTTTGATTCAGAGAAGTTTAACCTAGTCCCAAATAAGCAGAATATGAACCAACTTTTACCCCATATGGCTACTCATTTGTCCCAACCAGTTTATAGACTAATTCATTTGTGTCCATTGATTTGGGATGTCACTTTGATCCTATTTTTACTTTCCTGTATATATTCAGATGTATTTCTAGACTATCCATTCTGTCCTAGTGATCCGTTTGATTATTCATGTGAGAGTACTACAGGGATTCAAGTTTTCAGGCATTGTGTTATAGAATCTGGTAGGACCCGTCTCTTCTTGTTATTTTTTTGAATCCAAATTTTCCTGTTTGCTCAAGCAGTTTTGTTTCCCTGTATGGACTATTTTGCTTCTTCCCTTCACCCCCCTGAAAAAATCCTATTAATATAATTACTGCAGTCACATTAAATTTGTAAATTAACTGAAGGAGATTCAATATCTTTATGGTTAGATTTAAGAATATGGCATGATTTTCCATTTCCACAAGTTTTTGTTGTGTTTTAGGAATGTTTTAAAGTTTTCTTCATATAGATCCTTTACAATTCTTTGATTGATTGATTGATTTGAGAGAGAGAGAAAGCGCGCGCGTTCATGCAGGCGAGCAGGAGGAGGGGCAGAAGGAGAGGGAGAGAATCCCAAGCAGAATCCCTGCTGAGCATGGAGCCTGATGCAGTGCTTGATCCCACCACCCCGAGATATGACCTGAGCTGAAATCAAGATTTGGGTGCTTAACCTACTTAGCCACCCAGGCGCCCCTAGATCCTATACAGTTCTTTAGTTTACTGTCAAAAGCTTATTTTTAAAATCCTACTACTATCTTACTGAATTGTTTACTAATTGTAGTTGTTACTCAGGTAAATCTCCTGGGTGTTCTAGGTTTTTTATCTGTAAGTAATGATAATTTTACCTTCTCCATTCTAAGTTTTACATTTGTGATTTCTTTCTCTTGTCTGTTAGCTTTGGCTACCATCAAAATAATAATAATAATAAATAATAAAATAATAGCAGTCATCCTCATATTGCTCCTGATTTTAGTGGGAAAACTTCTTTTTCCCAGTACTTTTTTTTTTTTTTTTAAGTTTTACTTATTTAAGTAATCTCTATACCCAACGTGGGGCTTGAACTCATGACCCCGAGATCAAGAGTCACATGCTCCTCTGACTGAGCTAGTCAGGCGCCCCTAGCTTTTTCCCAGTAAGCATATTGCCGGCTTTTAGGTTGAACTAGAACTAGTTTATCATTTTAAGGAAGTCATCTATTCTATTTTATTAAGAGTTTTTATCAAGAATGGATATTGAATTTAGTCATGACTTTTCAGTATCTATGAAGATGATCGTATGTTTTTTTTCCTCTCCTTTGACCTAATAGTATAATCATTATGTTAATAGATTCTGTAATATTGAACCCATCCTTACATTTCTTGAATAAACCCCACCTGGTTCTTTAGTGTAAAATTCCTTCCCTGTAGCTTGCTAATAAACTTTTTTCACTGATATTTGTAAGGGAGATGGCTCTGTCCAGGCTTTTCTTTTTTATGAAATCTATGGATTTGGGTATCAATGTTACTATGCTTGTGTTATAAATATAATTTGGAAGTTTTTCTTTTTTTTCTTTGGAACAGTTTAAATAGAATTGGAATTACTTAGACTTTTTGTGCTTTAAAGGTCTGGGCCTGATGCATGCATGCATGCTTGCTGGCT